ACATTTCATCAGAGATTTATACTCGCCTAAGAGAGATCTTATACATAATTTTGTTAGATTATAACTATTAGTTTCCCTTTTAGGGTGCTAATGACAAATGGTACATCAATCGTATTGTAATTATTCAAATTCCACTTGTTCATCGTGCTGATATACAGGAAAAGCTTGATTCTTGTGTATATTCAACTTTTTATTCCTACAACTTGCTGTTATACTTATTAGTTATAACTAGTTATAACTAATTAGTTATAACTATTAGTTATAATAGTAACTATAACTATATTATAGTTATATAACATATATATATACTAACTATATAACTAATAACTATTTAGTTATAACTATAACGTAATTAGGTTTCTTATAATAGTTAAATATAAGTTATATTATAGTTATATAACTTATATTATATTGTATTATATATATATTATATTATATTATATATTATATAATATTAATTATATTATAATAAGTTATATTATGTAACAATATTTATATAACTATAACTAATAATTAGTGGTTAGTTCAGAGTTTTGGGTCAGATCCTTTCAGATTTCTACATATCATGTTATCATGAATAAAGTACAGTTTATTATTTGCATCCCAATCTGTATGCCTTTTATTTCTTGCTTGTGGTTATGCATTAGCAAGGATTTCCCATTGTATGTTTGAAAACCATTGTGAGGACATTTTTGCCTTTTACCTGATCTTAGTGGATAACCTTGATTTCTCTCATTAAGGATACGTTCATGTAGGTGTTTTGTATCTAATAAGATAGTTTTATCAAGTTCAAGATTTGCCCCCATTCCCTAGTATCTGAGGTTTTTGATCATTAATGGAGTTGGATTTTGTCAAAGCGTTATGATTAACATGATATGATCGTGTGTTTTTTCTTTACCTATTGATAATAATGGATTCACATTTATTGATCTTCAATACCAAACCAGCCTTGCCATACTGGATAAAATCCAACTTGCGCTCAGGCTGGTTTTGAACTCCTGACCTTGAGCAATCCGCCCGCCTCGGCCTCCCAAGAGCTAGGATTACAGGCGTGAGCCACAGCGCCCGGCCTGCAATATACTTTTACAACTAATAAAATTATGGTTTTTGCCTTTTGGTATGCTTTGTTATGTTTTCTTGATAGCTGGACATGATGTACCTGGTAAAAGGAACTGCTATAAATAGGCCTGAGAGCAGGCTTTATTTAGAAGAACAGAGTGCTATGGCGTATTTTTAAATGGTTAATTTTCCACTCCCTCTGCTAGAAGCACAAGGGGATTTTTTCTGATATTTACCATGAGAACCTAGTCGATTTCCTAGAGGAAAATATCACAAGATTGTGGGGCTCCCCTTTCCATTGAGTCTCTCTGGAGTTTTTAGTTCTCAAATTATCCACACTGAGCCTCCAGCAATTTATGAATTATAGTTCATGTTTTCCTAACCTGGCACTGGTTCCCATGGTGGTTTTCTTTCGTGAGTCTCTGTTTCTGTAAGCCTTGACTCCTTGTATTCACTTGTCTTTTTCCAATCTTGGGGGGTAGCAATTTGCCCTGTGTCCTTACCTCTCTTATAGATCCTAGAAGAGTTGTTCATTTTTCAGTCTGTTCAACTATTTATTTGCTGTTATGAGGGAGCGGCAACTTCCAAACTCTTTACATGCAGAAGAGGAAACCAGAAGTCCAGGAGTTAGTTTTTATGACATGGAGTCTCATATTGGGACCTCTGAGTGGAGGTGTCAAGTCCACAGCAAGAGACAGACATTGGGAATTGAGGGAATGGATTCAGGTGAAAACTACCCACCAGTTGGAGGCTGACACACAGATCATGACAGATTTAAGAGGGGGACTCTTCAGGCCATGGTGGCAATGCCATCTGCAGGGAAAGATGAGGAGGGTATTCTCCAATGACTTGATCTCTTGCATGATCACCTGGAGAGAGGTAGGGATCATCACTAAGACAGATTAGGGAGAGCAGTGACCATGTTGTTCAGGAGTGGCATTGGTAGGGAAGGGGATGTGTCCAACTGGTGGCACAGGCTTTAAATGGGGAAGAGTTAAGAGATTCATTCAGAGGCAAAGCAGTAATGGAATGGAGGTCAAATGACAGTGAAGCCAAGGCTGGTGCTTTATCTCCTCTGCTGGCTTAGACTTTTGTGATAACTCTTGGTGGGGTCTGGGGAGTTCCAGACAGGATGACAGATTAGGAGCTAATGAGATCAACTGGGAAAGTCATTTATCCTGTGGTGGGAGCAACTGGGGATAGGGTTTTGATTGCTCATAGGTGGGAAGAGGAAAGATGTGCCTGATGTGGGTACAGCATGGGTGGCACTGAAGGAGAAGGAGGATTAGGCTCCCTTAGTTTCACAAGGTTTGGGTGGCAGAAATTAGAACAAGGGGCTAGGCCACGTGGGGAGTTCTTCATAACAGTGCTGGGACTGCCTCTGGCTTGGGTACAACCGAGGTGTGGTGTAGTGCTGGGACCTGGTTTCACCTGGCAAGTACTGCCTGAGTCCCTTAAGCCGAGTGCCATGTGTGGAAGCCTGCAGCATAGATTCAAGGAGTAGCAGTGGTGCTAAGGGTTTGAGAGTCATGGTCTGGAGATGTCAGGGAGCTGTTGTTCCAAGTGATGTGTGAGTGGTGAGTAGATGTACTCAGGGTCCTTGTGCTCAAGAGTTGAAGCCAGGAGGGTGAGCACAAGTTTGTGTGTATGTGGTGTGATCTGGGTCTCCAGGGCTACTTGTTAGCATGAACCTGGGTGAGATTCTATAAGCCAGGCCCAGAGCTAACTTAGCACTATCTCCGGCCCCATGTAGCAGTGGTGGCTGGAGACAGCGATCAGTGGGACATGAGGAGATGTCAGGTAGCAATACCATGAGGAACTGGTGTCTCCTGAATTGGGGAGCTGGGGAGGAAGAAGGATTCACTAGGGGTCCTGGAGATTGAGTCTGCTCATGAACTCAACTGCCCCTATCATGACAGGGCCATGTGACCTTTGAGGATATTGTGGTGTACTTCTCCCAGGAGGAGTGGCAGATCCTTGATGAAGCTCAGAGGTGCCTGTATCACGACGTAATGCTGGAGAACTTTGCACTTTTGGCCTCAGTGGGTAAGATTCCTCAAAACCACACCATCGACCTATGCTGGCGTCTGCTTTTCCCCTTTTTCCAGGAGTCACCCTGTCTTTCCCAGAGTTGGACCACAGGCCCTGCTCCCTTCATTTCCTGGCTTATGTGCTGTGTTTACCAGGCCTTGCCTTTTTGCAGCCTCAACATCTGTTGTCCCAAAGCGTTTTATTTTTAGTTAAGGGTTTGGGTTCAGAGGCTTGCAGCCTGCTTGGCCAACACCACCTAGCTTTGCCTTGCATTGCTAAGGTTCAGGTCTGTGGCAGGCAGAACCTGTGTCACATGTCCTCTCCTTGCCTTTAGTAGAAGTTTCTTGGGACCTGCTTGTCTCAGGAATTAACAGGTACTTACATGGGAACACTAGGTTATGACAGCAAGATATTTCCTCAAGGTTCTTTTTGTAATAAATTTTTCTCTAGGAGTCTGTTATGGATTGGGACACTCAGGGCCAGTGTTCTTTCTTTAATCAACTACCTGCTTTCCTTTTAGGACAGCTACTTTTCAGGTCCCAGATAGTCTCCCTACCTGAGCTGGGAGCAGAAGAGAGCCCTGTGTTCCTGACAAGGTGGAAAAGTCTCCAGCCATAGCAAAAGGAGTTAACAGGGTCCAGGGCCTTGTGAGGTGGAACAGTGGGAGGGCAGGGTCTCAGGACTAAGATCAAATCATACCAGGAAAATGTCCTGTGCTCACCACTATCTTGGTGCCAAGGCTCATGCCATACCTCATTTCTGTCTTTCCTTTGCCTACTTGACATTTTGCCCACTTGTCATTTTTACTGTGACTTCTGCACCCTGGCTGTTCCCTACCTCTCTGTCCCCCACATCTCTCCAGTTTCTCTCCTTCTGCACTATTCTCCAACATTAGCTCACACTTAATGTATCATCAGATGTGTATGCACAGACGCTTCCTAGCTTATGGAGAACTTTTAACTTAGTAACTTTTAGAGTCCCAGTGTTGTAAATATTTTCCTCTTTGGCCAGGCCCCCAGCCCCCTTGTCCTGAAAACAAATCCATGGACTCATCCTTGCCTGTGTCATACAGGTATTTGTAATGGGACTGTTCCCTTACAACAAAGTCTGCGTACACTTCACTCACATTTTTGTGCTTTCAGGTTGTTGGCATGGAGTAGAGGCTGAGGAGGCCCCCCCCGAGCAGACTGCTTCCACAGAAGGTGTGTCACAGGCCAGTTCTCCAAAGCCAGGTCCTTCCATCTCAAATGCTCATTCCTGTGAGATGTGTATCTTGGTCATGAAAAATATATTTTACCTGGCTGAGCACCAGGGAGCACTTCCTGGGCAGAAATTGTACACTTGTGTGGCATGTGGGAAACACTTTTCATTCGATTTGAATCTACACCAGAACCAAAACCAGCACAGTGGAGATAAATATGTCAGAATGAAAGACAACAGGACCTTGCTTGTAAATAGCTGCAAAATCCCTGTGTTGGGCAACCTTTTTAAATGCAAAGATGTTAAGAAGGATTTCCTAGTCACCCAGTGCCTTCTCCAGCACCAGAATACCCACAGTGGAGAGTATCCACATAGAAGCAGGGAGACCTTTCACACTCAGCAAAGGCATTACAAATGTAGCAAATGTGAGCAAGTTTTCAAGGAGAAGGTTCATGCCGTTGAGCATCAGAGAGTTCACACTGGAGAAAAAGCTTATAAATGTAGTGAATGTGGGAAATCCTGGAACTGTAAATACTCACTTGTTCGGCATCATAGAACCCATAATGGACAAAAGCCTTATGTGTGCAATGTATGTGGGAAATCATTCCTCCATAAGCAAACGCTCGTTGGACACCAGCAGAGAATTCACACTGGAGAAAAGTCTTATGTGTGCATCGAATGTGGGAAATCCTTAAGCTCCAAATACTCACTTATTGAGCACCAGAGAACCCACAATGGAGAAAAGCCTTATGTGTGCAGTGTATGTGGGAAATCATTCCGCCACAAACAAACATTTGTTGGCCATCAGCAGAGAATCCACAGTGGAGAAAGGCCTTACATGTGCATAGAATGTGGGAAATCCTTTATTCGATCCTCTGACCACATTAGACACCAGAGAATTCACACTGGAGAAAGGACTTACGTGTGCAGTGAATGTGGGAAATCTTTCATTTACAAACAGTCACTTCTTGATCACCAGAGAATCCACACTGGAGAAAGGCCTTATGAGTGCAGTGAATGTGAGAAAGCCTTCATCCATAAAAGAAGACTTCTTGAGCACCAGAGGATCCACACTGGAGAAAAGCTTTATGTGTGCGTCAAATGTGGAAAATCCTTTATTCGATCCTCTGACTACATGCGACACCAGAGAATTCACACTGGAGAAAGGGCTTATAAATGCAGTGAATGTGGGAAAGCCTTCATCTCCAAACAAACACTTCTTAAGCACCACAAAATCCATACTAGAGAAAAGCCTTATGAATGTAATGAATGCAGGAAAGGCTTCTACCTTGAGCGTAAGCTTTTTCAACACCAAAGAATCCACATTAAAGAACTTTATGAGTGCAGTGAATGTGGGAAAGCCTTCAGCCACAAAAAAAGACTGCTTGAGCACCAGAAAGTTCACACTGGAGAAAAGCCCTGTGAGTGTAGTGAATGTGGAAAGTGCTTTAAACACTATACCAGCCTCATTCAACACCAGAAAGTTCACACTGGAGACAGGCCTTATAAATGCACTGCATGTGAGAAGTCCTTCATCTACAAAAATAAACTTGTAGAGCATCAGAGAATCCACACTGGAGAAAAGCCATATGAGTGCAGCAAATGTGGGAAAGCTTTCAACAAAAGGTATTCCCTCATCAGGCATCAGAAAGTTCATACAGCAGAAAGGCCCTAGCCGTTGATGGGATGTATGATTACCTTGTTCACCAAAACACCAGAGAGCAGATTTTTCAAGGCATCCATCAGACAAATGAACCTCATACATCTGAAGATCACCAGTTGGATGATTCACTTTGAGGTCCAAGTACTTGGGAATCTTTCTGGACTTTGGCTTTCTTATCTGTCTGGCATTGCAGCATACACTACAATGCGGCATATCCCCACAGTGCCTATCAGTCACTCACATGTGCTGAAGGCATGCAGACTTTTGTGCTCACCAAATTCTGAAGGGAATTGTGAATAATATGAGCCTATTGGGGGTCTTCTTCCAACCTGCTGGATTGTTTTAAGGCATAGATAGGACCTATCTTTGACCAAGAAGAGTTATTTGGGTTCTGGTAGCCTAGGGAGGTTTACCTTCTTTGTGGATATCATTTTTTAATGTGAGTGCCATGGTAGAGATTCCCCTACTCCACCAAGGAGGAAAATGGCACATCTTACCGTTTGCTGATGTTTGTGCTAAAGACCTTATTGTTTAGACCACCTTTAATCTTGGAGGCTGTGTGTACTGTGTGGCTTGGGTTTAGAACAGAATCATGTTCTGGGTTTAGAACAGAATCATGTTCTACCAGTATGAAGGGTAAAGAGCTTTTGTGGGAACTACGACTTTATGTGCCCCCCAAGGGCACAGGATGATATCAAAGAATAGTTCTTAGTTCTGGCCAGGTGTGGTGGCTCATGCCTGTATTCCTAGGACTCTGGGAGGCTGAGGCAGGCGGATTGCTCGAGGTCAGGAGTTCGAAACCAGCCTGAGCAAGACCCCATCTCTGCTAAAAATAGAAATTAATTGACCAACTAAAAATATATATATTCAAAAAATTAGCCGGGCATGGTGGCACATGCCTGTAGTCCCAGCTACTCGGGAGGCTGAAGAAGAAGGATCACTTGAGCCCAGGAGTTTGAGGTTGTTGTGAGCTAGGCTGACGCCACGGCACTCACTGTAGCCTGGGTAACAAAGCGAGACTCTGTCTCAAAAAAAAAAAAAAAAAATAGTTCTTAGTTCTGTTTACCTTAATTTTCATTGTTTTCCAAGGTCTCCTAAGAAAGACAGCAGAGGTATATTATGTGATGTGGTTGCCAGATTTATTTGTAGGTCCAGAGGTCGCCTTGAGAAGAGGCCTTTCTGACACTCAAGTACTGGGATCTATCTGCATGAATTGTACCTTTGATCCCAGTGATGCCTCATATTTCCTAGCATTGGTCATGGAAAGCTGTTTCCAAGGTCCTTCAGCATAGCTGTGTTCACTGAAGGGCAGAATTTGGTAGGCAGGTCACTGGTTGTACAACCTGCTACGGCCACACAAGAACAATAATTAGCCCAGAGACCTAAGGTATGATAAATTGTGTAGAAAATTGCAGCCAAGAACAGTGAATGTGTCCCATTTATAGGTGCATCCAAAAATGTCCATGTTACTATGGCTCATGGTTTGGGAGTGTATAGCAATTCTCAGTACTGCAGGCCTTTGTTTTTCCTGTGGCCACTGTCACTGTCATCATGAATAATCTAAGATTTTGTGAACTTGCATAACTTTTCTAGACTGTTTTTGAGATGATTGCTACATAGGCAGGAAAGCAGTATTTGAGAGAATGTAGCCTTTGTAGTCCAGATTTGTGGTTTTTTGACTTGGCCAAGTCTGCTATGTCAGATGAAAATTATCTTCATTACTTGCCACTTATTGCTGCCACTGAGAGGGCTGTCCTTCCTAACTTGTGAGAAGATGAATCCTTAATTGTAAGTAAATCTTATGTTACCAAATAGCTTGGTTTTCAAAAAAGTGGGATAGATGCATATTTTTGTGTGGAAATATTTATTTTATAACATTGAAATGTAGTTTTCATACACAGAACCTTCTCTCATGGTTTTCACCTTCAGTAATCTCAATAAAAACTTTATATTAGAAATATATGCATATATGTTCTATTCTGTGTCTTTTAATTTACTTTATTTGATTTGGTTTTCCAAAGAAAACATTTTCAATTTTAAAGTTGAATGTGTCTATTTGTTCTTGTAATGATTGTTCTTTTGGTGTTATTGAAAGAAATGTATGCCTAATTTAAAGATACAATATTTTATGTGTTTCCTTCTGAAACTTTTACCGTTTAGGTTTTCTATTTATGATCATATTCATTTAATTTCTGTAAGTTTTTTTTAAAGATATGATTGATACCCAGTTGTTTCAGCAACATTAATTTAAAAGATCTTTCTTAACTGGGTTGCTTTTGTACCTTTATCAATTATTTATGTATATGTTTCTTTCTGTACTTTCTATTCTATTTATGTATTTGTATTTATCCTAATACTTTCATGTGTTGACAAATGTGTTTCTATAATAAGTGTTGAAATCAAGGTCGTGTACTACTTGGCCTTCTATTAATATTTCATAGATATTTTGGCCATCTTTGGGCTTTTACATTTCCATATCAATTATAGATCCAGTTGTCAATTTCTATGATAAGAAAAAAACTACTGGGATTTTGATTGGGATGGCATTTAATCTATAGAGCAATTTTAGAAGGACATATTGAGTGTTCTATTATCTTATTTAGATCTTATTTAATTTTTGTCTGCAGTGTTGTAGTTTTCCATGGATACATCTTACAAGTCTTATAAATCTCCAAGTACTTTCTATATCTGATGCTATGGTAAACCTTAATTGTATTAGCTACATTTTCTTATTTTCTATATTCTTGATGCTCTAGCATTATGGACTTCAATCCTGAAAAGACTGTCCCTCCCAGAGATATTTAATTCCTAGAAATAACACACTACTACTCTATGAGCATGGCTTTTATATACAAACCAATCAGTCCATAGCCTACACCCTAATCATTTCTATCAGACTCACATACCAAGCCAAAATTTTCCCTGCTTTAAATCACCCCAGGGCTGAGGTACTGAACATCTGTGGATCACCCATGTAGCTCAGAGGTGCCTGGAATTATTCAAACTATCAAATCTTAAGCATACTCAGTGCACCTACCTTTCCTTGCCCATTCCTTCCTGCAAAATGACTCTGTGTCATCTCTCCTCTCCCCTTCTGCCTTCTAACCAACCCTAATCCTTCCCCACATGATCCCTTTTGGTATGCCATGCCTCCTGTTTCTTTAATTCAGGAAGTATAAGCTTCCTTCATGACAGTCATTTCTGTGTCTGTGTTGGCTTACCATACTTGATTAACACATTAATTGCCATGTGAATTGTATTTAACTCACACTAGTTTTGAGTCCAGGTCCCTGTGAAGCATATGTACCTCACACATCTCTTTACCTTGAGCTCCATGAACTCTGAAAAACTCTGTTTTTCAAGTTGCATATAACTCACACAGAAAACAATGAAAAATAACAAATTTTTTATTATAAAGGATCATTGTGTTTTTGAAGTTTTTATTCTATTTTTGTAATAAAACACCATGGCCTCAGGGAAAGTTTTTTTTTTTTTCTAGTGTGGCAGTCAATGTGTTAAATCCCAGGTATCTGTCAGTACAGTATTATTAATTTTCCAATTCATTACTATTACAGAAAGTGGCTTATTTTAATCTGTGTTCTTTAAACTTTAAAAACTTAGTAGTTTTATTCTTGGTTTTTATAGACAAAGGATTTTCTCCATAAAATAGATTTACCTCATTCTTACCAATATGAGTATGTTTTCTTTCTTTCTTTCTTTTTTTTAACAGAACAGTAATAACTTTATTTCATTCAGGAAGTATTTTAAATATAGATTAAACTCTTTAATAAAAAGAAATAAAATAATTCAATGGATTAAGAACAAACAAGATCCTGCAATATGCTGTCTATAACAAAGTCACTTTAGCTCTAAAGATTAAAACAGGATGAAAGTAACAAGATGAAAATCATATATCCCATGCAAACAATAACTACATTTAGGTAGGGGATACACTTTCAATAAAAACCTGTCACAGAAATTGATGTTATATGGTAACATGGGTCCATTTACCAGAAATCTATTACAGTTGTAAATATAAATAAATAAATATATGTATACGTGTATAAGCATATACAACTATAACATCAGGACTCCTAAATATATCAAGATAATTATCAACAGGAACAAAAACAAGAAATATATAGCAACATAATAATTGTAGAATGTAACACTCCACTTCATTAATAAATAAAAAAATCAGATACAAGATAGATGAGAAAACAGAAAACTTTAACAATATTATACACTAGGTTGAACAAACATATACAGAACTTTTCAGTCATAAGCAGCAGAGACATAATATTCTCAATTACACATGGTACATCTATTAAGACACATAACAAGTCTTATCAAATTTAAGACTAAAATCATACAATGGATCTTTTCTACCCAAATTGGAGTGAAACTAGGAGTCAAAAGCAGAAGGAAAATTAGGAATGCAAAAGTATGTGAAAATTAAATACACTTTTGAAAATATTCTTGCACAAGGGTTAGGTGATTTAATATTGTTAAGATGTGACAACTACCCACAGTGTTGTACAATTTCAGTGTAATCTCTATCAAAATCCTAAGGGTGAAGTGAGCGAGCCGTCCCAGGGTCAGATTGGCTGAGACCCCAAGTCAGCAGAACGGGAGCCCATTGCTTGTTCCCACAATTAGCAGGATGTGGCTTGGTGACCGGCTGAAGAAACTGTTTCTCCAGGCAAATGGCCAAGACCTGTGGCCTCGAGTGTGAGCCAAGGTTGCCTGGTAACCAGCACGCGGTGCTAGGCCCTGCAAGATGGTCAAGGACTCAAAGTCTCCCACTCGAGCCGAGATTGTTTGTTATCCGAAAGTGGTGCAAAACATCAAAGAGACCTCTTGTAGATGGCCATGCTTTTTGCTTTGACTGGAGAAGCAGGTGTTGTTGGCCGTGGGAAGTCACGTACCAAAAAGTAGCTGGCATGAGAAAATAGCTACAGGACACTTGCCCAATTAAACTGTATAAAATAAATTGGCTTGCACAGTTTTGGCTGCTACAGTCTGAAACCGTCTCTTGTCTCTGTGTCCTTTTTTCTTCTGGGACTGCAGCCAATTCTGTCTGCGTTTTATGTATATGTTCTGTGTATGTCATCTCCCGTTCTGTAATCAGGCCGCAACATAAAGGGGCCTTTTTTAAGAAATATACAAAAAAATTTAGGCCGGGCGCAGTGGCTCACACCTGTAATCCTAGCATTCTGGGAGGCTGAGGCAGGCAGATCGTTTTGAGCTCAGGAGTTTGAGACCAGCATGAGCAAGAGCGAGACCCCTGTCTCTACTAAAAATAAAAAAATATTAGCTGGACAACTGAAAATAAAAACAAAAATTAGATGGGTGTAGTGGCGAGTGCCTATAGTCCCAGCTACTCGGGAGGCTGAGGCAGGAGGATCGCTTGAGCCCAGGAGTTTGAGGTTGCTGTGAGCTAGGCTGCAGCCTCAGCACTCTAGCCCGGGCAAGAGAGCGAGACTCTGTCTCAAAAAAAGAAAACAGAAAAAAAAAAATGTGTTTAAAAATTATGACTGGCCTTTCTCCCTGTAATCCTAACACTCTAAGAGGCTGAGGTGGGAGGATGCCTTGAAGTCAGGAGTTCAAGACCAGCTTCGGCAAGAGCAAGACCCCATCTCTGGGCTTGGCTACTTTCTCATGTGTCTCTTCACATTCCAGGGCTCTTTCTTCTACTCCACACAGATGATCAGGTCTGGGTTAGCGACAGCAAGACCTGCACATTGTCTCTCGGTCTTTAATGAGCATGTAAATCACTTGGGATTCTGGACCCCACTCTGTGTAGTGTGATTGTGTAGGTTTGGAAGTGGTTCATAATTGGCTTCTTCAGACCTCCTCCTTGTTCTTCACCCAAGTACCAGGAAACTGGAACAACTCCCATCTGGGTACCAACGAGAGAGATTCTGTGAGGAGTTTTAGCATTCCTCGGTTTCATTTTTAACAGGAGAAAGGAGGGATAGAGAACCCCACAGTTCACAGCTCCTCCCCGCAGGAACCCCGCACACCTAGTGGGGATTCTCCCCTGGGGACGCTCTCGTCCTCCCGCACAATCTGGGGCGACGTGGCTGCCGGACGAGGCTGCGCGCGGGCTTCGCCACGCGGCCGGGAAAGGAGTGCCACTGCGTCCTCCGCCTCCCGCGCCGCCGGGCGACGCGAGGCCGAGCTGCCCGGCACGCACCTCCGGCAGCTGGGACGCCCGGCCCGCACGACCCTGTTCCTCGGCTTCCGCAGTGTCGCAGCGTCCTCCCTACGGGCCTGCCAGCACCCGCAGGGTGACAGAGGCCGTGGCGGTCACCGCGCCTCCCGGACTGAGGAGAAAGAACTGCGCGGACAGCGAGTTCCGCCGCGGGGGCGGACACGGCCGCCAGATCGCGCAAGGCGGCACCCTCCGTTTTCTTTCTTTTTATTGCCTCATTGTAGTGGCTAAAACCTTCAGTTCAACATTGAATAGAAGTCTAGCATCTCTTCAAAACATTCAGTCTAATATTGAATAAAAGTTTTACTCAATTTTGGCTTTAATTTCCCTTAGTTTTCTAATTTCTTAAGGCAGAATCTGACATTAATTTTAGACTATTCTTTTCTAGTATAGGTATTTATAAGTTTTTCTCTATTATTTTAGCAGCATCTCACAAATCTTGGTATATCATGTATTCATTTTCTGTAAGGTAGAGCTAATTTACAACTGCACTGGAAAAGCTCCATTTTTATTGTAAAAACTGGATGTCTGGCTTTGACACTTTTGGTGATTGATATATGGACACTAGAATTTATGTGCTGTTTAAAGTTTAAAAATTTCAAGGTAACAAAATTTCAAGGTAATTTCCAGAGCCAGTTTGTTTATTGGTGATTTCAAAATTACCTACATAGTTAGGCAACCTAGCTTAATTGTGATACCAGGAGGCCATGACGTTTTTGCCTTAAACGTCTTGATTTCTTGGAGCTGACAATGAACACATCCATGTGCAGATAATGAGCCAGTAGAGTTGTCCCTGCAGCCCTCAGATCTCATGCTGACCAGAACTCCCTTTATCTCACTGTGCCTTATCTTTGCCTATAAAAGCCTCACATGATTATATTCTGTGAAGCCTTGTGAGTTTTTTCTGAACTTGTGATAACTTTGCAGTTAGTGATGAGGATGGGTAACTGATGCAGCTGTCAACTCTAAAGTGATTTTGAGGAGAAAGATGAGTAAAAACTCTTGGTGGCATTGGTGAGAAAACGTTGTTATAGTCTTGACCTTTAGGTTGTCCCTAGCTTGCAGTTGTACAAGTGCTGCATTTGTTGATAGAAGAGCAAATAGACATCAAGTTAGTACAGGTGGTGCTGTGGAAGAGAAAAGAAATGGATAATAAAAGAAATTCAGAATGAGGGGAAGTTGGTTAGAAATAGAGACCGTTGGCTGTTTTCAACAATGTCAGTAACAACGAAGGTTTCTAAGCTGGAGGAGGGTCCTGACACTGCAGGATTCCACTGGCTTCTGATCCCAGGGTGCTGTAGCTGGCACAATTCTGAGGTCCCAGCCACAAAGTGTTGCATGAACTCATGAATCTTCTCCATTGCTGCTGCCTCCCCATTGACCCTGCTGGGCCACGGAGGGAACAAGGAGGCTGGAAGTTCTCACACGCCCCATGGACAGGTGCCATGCATTCCCACCATCACCAGGGGACACAGGCAGAGCAAGCACCCACCGATTCAGTTCTTACTGCTGCCACCTTGGTCTAGTCCAGCCAAAACAGCTAGGGAACCTGGAGGAAACAAACAGCCATGGTCCCCAGCAACTGCTGCCACTGCTCCTGCGTAGTACCACCCCTGATGGATCTGAACAGGGCAAGTGCCCACACTGCCACCACTGTCATCAGGCCTGGGTAGAGCAAAGGCCCACACAACTATGTGCCATCCAGTTGCTGCATGCTGCTGCGACCATCAGACCTGGGTGGTGCAAATACCCACAGCCCTGGCATCTGCTGCTGCCACATAAGTAGCTCTGCTCAGCTACCACTGCTGCTTCCACCAGAGGACCTGGGCAGAGCAAACCCCCATGGCCACCCACCTCCATAGAGAGGTACCAGCCCTGTCTCCATCCAAGCCTTCAGCAGTAGCCTAGGGACCAGCATACCCCTCCATATGAATTTCGCCCCGCATGTGCTTGGACTGTGACAACTACAGGGGAAAGGAGAGATGGAGGAGTGCAGCCATGTGCTCAGAGTGCATCTGTTTCTTTCTTGCCTGGTCAATCTTCTGGAGCAGTACTCAAGGATGCCATCCAGGGACCCTCCTGTATCTTCACCAAACAATAGAAGTCCCTGCAGAGAAGAACTGTGAAGCTATCTGTTTCAAGCTGAGAGGAGAGGTTCCAGGTAAGAAGGAACAAATATAACAACTTGGCAACATGAAAAATCAGGCAGTTTTGACAACCCCAAAGGATCACAATAGCTCTCCAGCAATGGACTCCAGCCAGAAGGAAATTGTTGAAATATTAGGGAATTCAGAATGTGGATGGCAATGGGATTGGTGGGAAAGTTGAAAACCAAGACAAAGAAATGAAAAAAATAATTCAAGACATCATGAAAAATTCACTAGATAGATAATATAAGAAGAAAATATAACAGAATTTCTGGAAATGAAAAAAATCATTTAGGGAATTTAAAAATACACTGGAACGTTTCCACAACAGACTAGACCAAGAAGAAGAAAGAATTTCAAAGCTTGAAGATAAGGCTTTCTAATTAACCCAGTCAAAAATGAAGAAAAAAAGAATCAAAACAAATGAACAATTTCTCCAAGAAATATGGGATTATACAAAATTAACAAATATAAGAATTATAGGTATCCTTTAGAACAAGCAAAACACACGGAAAACCTATTTGAGGGAATAATTGGGGAAAACTTCCCTGGTATAGCTAGAGATTTAGACATCCAGATACAAGAAGGTTATCATATACCTGGAAGATTCATGGCAAATAGGACATCACCAAGGCACATAGTCATCAGTCTGGCCAAAGTCAAATTGAAGGAGAAAATCTTACAAGCTGTGAGATGAAAGCATCAACTGCCAAAGAAAACCCATCAGACTACTAGCAGATTTCTCAGCAGAAATCTTACAAGCCAGAAAGGATTGGGGTCCCCATTTTTAATCTTCCTAAATGAAATAACTGCCAGCCAAGAATTGTGTGTCTTGCAAAACTCGTTTCATAAATGAAGGAGAAATAGATTCTTTTCCAGACAAGCAAACACTAAGAGAATTTGTCAACACTAGACCTGCCTTACAAGAAATGCTTAAAAGTGCTCCATATATGGAACAGAACATTTGGTACCCACCAATGTAAAAACACCCAAAAGTTAAAACACAGCTCTTATAAAACAGTAACACAAGAGAGAAAACAAAGCAACTAGGTAACAATCAACATGATGACCAGAAGAGTATTTCACATATCAATATTAACACTGAATATGAATGTTCAAAATGCCCCACTTAAATGATATAGATTGGCAGAATGGATAGGGGAAAAGAACCCACCACCCAAATATATACTGTCTGCAAGTAACCCATTTAACTTACAAAGATTCTCATAGATTCAAAGTAAAGGGATGGAAAAATATATTCCACGCAAATAGCAGGAGTAGGTATCCTTGTATCAGGTAAAATACACTTTAAATCAAAAATGGTACCAAAAGACAGATGGTCATTATATGATGACAAAGAGGTCAATTTAACAAGAAGATAGAACAATCCTGCATATAATAATATATGCACCTAACTCAGGAACTCCCAGATTCACAAAAAAATTCTGCTAGATAAGGAAAGAAATAAAGAGCAACATCACAATAGCTGGGGACTTAAACACTCCACTGATAGAACTAGATAGATTATTGAGGCAGAAAATCAGCAAACACTGAACTTAAATGGAACTCTAAAAGAAATAGACCCATCAAACAACCCTATCAAAAAATGGGCAAAAGTCTCCAAACAATAAATGCTGGTGTGGATGTGGAGAGAGAGGAACACTCCTACACTGCTGGTGGGACTGCAAACTAGTTCAACCTCTGTGGAAAGCAATATAGAGATACCTCAAAGCGATACAAGTAGATCTACCATTTGATCCAGCAATCCCACTACTGGGCATCTACCCAAAAGATAAAAAGTCACTTCATGAAGAAGACACCTGCACTCGAATGTTTATAGCACAATTCACAATTGCAAAGCTGTGGAAACAACCCAAGTGCCCATCAATTCATGAGTGGATTAATAAAATGTGGTATATGTATACCATGGAGTACTATTCAGCTTTAAGAAACAATGGTGATATAGCACCTCTTGTATATTCCTGGATAGAGCTGGAACCATTCTACTAAGTGAAGTATCTCAAGAATGGAAAAATAAGCACCACATGTACTCACCAGCAAATTGGTATTAACGGATCAACACCTCAGTAGACATATAGGAATAACATTTATCAGGTGTAGGGCAGGTGGGAGGGGGAGGAGGGAATGGGTATATACAAACACAGTGAGATGTGCAACATTTGGAGGATGGTCACGCTTGAGGCTCTTACTCGAGGTGGGAGGGGGCATGGGCAATATATGTAACCTTAACACTTGTAACCCCATAATATGCTAAAATAAAAAATAAATTAAAAAAATAATAAATAAAAGCAATAGACCTAACAGACATTTACAGAACATTCTACCCCAAAACTACAGGAAATATATTCTTATCAGCACATGGAACATTTTGCAAGGTAGATCATATGTTCTTCTGTAACCACATTCAGTTTAATGAAAGTGTCCTTTTTCAATTGAAAAAAAAAAACTCTCCAGAGTCCTGATTGAAGAGCAGATTCACCCCCTCCCCCCTTCTTGGAGCAGGAGGCCCTTAATTTAGTTCCTCTCTGTGTCTCCCCAGAACCACTATGATCAGAAGAAACTGAGTCATTATTGCCTGCAAATTGCTATGACTCTTCAAAGGGCTGGGTCAGTCAACAAGCACAGCACTGTGATATTTCTGGTTTAAAGAAACCATTAATTCCCATATTGTGGCTATTTACATGTCTTTATTAAATTCACTTTATAATTTCTCTTTCAAAAGACTCTCAATTCTTCCTTTGTCCCTTCTCTTATTTTCCTCATTCCAAAATCTTTTATTATATTAGTGATTTCAGAAATTCTCCTAATCTTAGTGTTACTAAAATTTCATTTTGCTAAGAATATTTTGAAATAATCCATGCATGTATAAAGTGAAAATCTAATATTGGATATTCAATTCATTTCTGAAAGAAAAAAATATACTTCATAAGGAAGTTGACTCTTAAAATGCTGTAACCCACTGTCCATCCCAGGTCTCATCTAATATAGACTGGTTTTCTGTGTTGATAAAGTTGTGTTAATGTAAATTTGCTACATTTAAACATTGGGCGGGATGTTTGATTTCTATTGTTGCTATAAAAAATTACCAGAATTTGAATAGCTTAACAACACAAATGTATTATAGTTCAGTAGGTCAGGTCTCCCTGGCCTAAAATAGAGGTATGAGTAGGACTGCATTAATTTCTGGTATGCAGGACCAGATTTAAAAAAGAATTTGCAGTATGTGGACCCATGTCTGTGTGTGGCTAAAGCCCACCCTTACTCTACTGTTCCACACTGCAGCCCTGGAATCTGGCCTTTAGGAGAGTAAGCCATGGTCATTTCATCTTCACTCCTTAAATGTTGCCCTTAATAGATCACTTTACAGAAATCTTAGATGTAACATTACACCCAGCAACAAATAATCACATATATATACCTTTAAAATGGAACCCAGGACACCTCTTACTAGAATATACATAAAAGGAAAGGATACATACCAGACCTGCTACAACTGTGGATTGTATGTGGAGTGATGAATGAGATGAATGGGAATAAGTACATCAAAATTTAAGTCCTTGCAGAGACCAGGACAGAGGGATGCTCTCTTTGTCCAGAGCCTTCAAGTCCAGTTTCATCATATAATGGCTCACTGCATCAAAGCTCACCTGAGTGGTTCTGAAAGAACTTCAAAAGATGATAAACATAAAATCACCATTTCAAAAGATAACCTATCAATTCAATTCACTCTCCATCAAATTGGCACTGACTGATCAACACTATGGTGCTCACATGGTAGTAATATTCTCTAGGGTTTAGGGGGTTGAGGGGGCTAAAATCACAACTAATGGATGCAGTGAGCATTGTAGAGGGGAAGGACACGCTTATAATCTTCACCTGGGTGAGGCAAAGTCATAAAATGTAACCAAAATGTTTATACTCTCACAATATCCTGAAATAAAAATTAAAATAAATAAAGACAACCTATCACCTATTAGAATGTATACCTATCACAGAAAAGGTATAGAGAATATTTTACTTCCACGTTGGAAGGCTTCTGATACTATCTAATGGAAGGCTATATTCTTCCTTCTTTTGACATATCCTGCTACTTGGAAGTAGCAGGGTTGCTTTCCAAGAAATAAATCTAAAAGCCTTCTTTACTATGAGTTATACATAAGCATCAAAAACATTTTGTGACCATGTAGAATTTTTTAATTGAGGTGAAATTCACATAATGTAAAATTAGCCATTTTAAAATGTACAGTGTAGTTAACATTAAGTTCATAATGCTGTGCAACCATCACCTCTATCTAGTTATAAATATTTTCACACTCCCCAAGACCACACTCCTATTAAGCAGACACTGCCCATGTACCTCACCTTTCAATATTTAGATTTCTGTGTACTCTGCTCACCTTACATGGGATTTTATTTTAAAAGTTCTTCCCTATTTGTTTCTGCCAAACCAAATAAAATGAAATACTCACCTGAGACTGACGAGCAAGTTCATCTTCACTCTGAGGGCAAGAGGCAACTAAAATCCTCCATGTCCCCATAGAACCCCTTTAATTAGGCAAAAATCGGGTACCTGCTTTAGTTTCCTGGGGTTGCCCAGGAAAAGACCACAAACTGCATGGCTTGAACATGGTGTTCTCCCATTGTCTTCCATCTGTGTCTGTCTCTGTGACCAAATTTCTATTTTTTTTTTTTTTTTTGAGACAGAGTCTCACTTTGTTGCCCAGGCTACAGTGAGTGCTGTGGCGTCAGCCTAGCTCACAGCAACCTCAAACTCCTGGGCTCAAGCAATCCTCCTGCCTCAGCCTCCCGAGTGCTGGACTACAGGCATGCGCCACCATCCCCGACTAATCTTTGTCAATATATTAGTTGGCCAATTAATTTCTTTCTACTTATAGTAGAGACGGGGTCTCGTTCTTGCTTAGGCTGGTTTCAAACTCCTGACCTCGAGCAATCCGCCCACCTCGGCCTCCCAGAGTGCTACAATTACAGGCATGAGCCACCGCGCTTGGCTTTTTTATAAGGACACTAGTCACATTGGATTAGGGCCCAACCTAATGGCTTCATTAACTTGAATACCTCTATAAAGACCCTATGTCCGCCGGGCGCGGTGGCTCACGCCTGTAATCCTAGCACTCTGGAGCCAGGCGGGCGGATTGCTCGAGGTCAGGAGTTCAAAACCACCCTGAGCAAGAGCGAGACCCGTCTCTACTATAAATAGAAACAAATTAATTGGCCAACTAATATATATAGAAAAATTAGCCGGCATGGTGGCGCATGCTGTAGTCCCAGCTACTCGGGAGGCTGAGGCAGGAGGATCGCCTGAGCCCAGGAGATTGAGGTTGCTGTGAGCGAGGCTGACGCCACGGCACTCACTGTAGCCTGGGCAACAAAGCGAACTCTGTCTCAAAAAAAAAAAAAAAAAAAACCCTATCTCCAAATAGGATCACATTCTTTTTTTTTTTTTTTTTTTTTTTTTTGAGACAGAGTCTCACTTTGTTGCCCAGGCTAGAGTGAGTGCCGTGGCATCAGCCTGGCTCACAGCAACCTCAATCTCCTGGGCTCAGCGATCCTGCTGCCTCAGCCTCCCGAGTAGCTGGGACTACAGGCATGCACCACCATGCCCGGCTAATTTTTTGTATAATTTTTTAGTTGGTCAATTATTCTTTCTTTTTGGTAGAGATGGGGTCTCGCTCAGGCTGGTTTCGAACTCCTGACCTTGAGCGATCCACCCGACTCGGGCTCCCAAAGTGCTAGGATTACAGGCGTGAGCCACCGCGCCCGGCCTAGGATCACATTCTTAAGTACTATGGGTTAGGGCTCCAACATCTTCCTGGGGGACACAATTCAATACTTAACATTACCATATGAACTTCTGCAGTTCTTCAAAGGCCAGAATGATCAATAACCACAGCAATTTCAAGACTAACAGGCTCCCAATGTAGGATGGCTTGTTCAAAGAAACTTTATTAATTCTCCATATTCTTCTGATCTATTTCTATTATTCACATTCATTTCAGAATTTCTCTTCCAAATCTTTTCTGGTTCTTCTTACTTCTGTTAGTTTTCTTCATTGTTCTAGTTCTACTACATGTTCTTATTCCATCAGTGATTTCTTAATCTTCTCTTTTCAATCTTGAGTGGTCTTTTTAGAATTATAAAATTTATTGTGAACATTCTGAACGTCTCCACATGTGTATGAACTTAAAGTGAATGTTCACTCTGACACTCCCATTTCCCACCTCCACACTCCTATTCATTGAAGTGCATCGAATGTGAACAGTCATGCCTAGCTAGTCCCACTCCCACAACTCTCCTTCCACAGACTGAGCACCACAAGGATGTTGCTTTTTATCTCAATTGTTCACTAAATGTAACACACAACAACTGAAATAAGAGTGTGAAAAGTATTTTAGCTTAATAATAAACTGAATATTCTGGAAAGCACACAGAAGAACTAAGTTCCTAAAACCTTTACTGAATTAAAAAGGGTGATAAAAACAAGTTTAGGTTAATGTATTGTACGTGTTCTCGTGTTTTTCCTATACTCTATAGACAGTAAGCTCCCTGTCTCAGCCACCTATGTGTCCCACTCCCCATATTGCAACCACAACACAGCAAGTGGTCTTGGAAATGCTCGATGGGTGTCTCAGGAGACTCTCACTCATCACAGCTGCAAATTCAGTTGTTCCTTGCATTCAGTACATAAACGAAGACTGTATGGAATGGCTGGAAGTTGACAAAACCAACCCTAGGGTGTCTTTTATCTATGGAAAATACATCATTTCTGCTTTGGGAAAAACTGGGGCCCAGGTCCCCAGGCCTGGAAAGAAGAACCTTTTGATGAGAGCCAAGATGTTTCTAGAGGGATTTCTACAACTCTCTTGAACCCAGGGACTCAGGTACAAGCACAGCTACAGTATGTGTAGCCTTCCAGAGAAAGGATGGAAGGTGGAATCTTCAAGAGTCCACTCTCCTTCCCCCAAAACAGAAAACTCTGCACTCTGGCCTGGAAAAACAAAAACATAGTGTTTCTAACTCTTCAAGAATTCCACTCATTATATGTGCATAAAGCACAACAAAATGGTGCATGCCCACTATAAAAATGTGAAGTACATGTACGGTCTTTTAAAAGGCTCTAAGGCTCAAAGTGAGGAAATCATTATTTTATATTTTTCACACAATACATGTTTTAACCTAACATTATCTCATGTAGCTTGAAAACTAACTCAAAGAAAAATCCCACAGGAAAATGTGCACATTCAATGCCAGCAGCAAAGGAATGAGTCTATGGGTAGTTAACTGTGAAACCCACTTAAACCTGCATGAATACATCCTGGTTCCCCTGTTAAAACACTAGGCACTTTATTCTGTAGCAAAATGTCACACAAACATTTATTTATAAGATCAGTGAGATTCCTCTCTGTTTGATTTCCTGGGTTTATCATGAATTTACCTTAGCTGTGTTTTATTTTGCTTATTTTAGCTATAACCCAATCCCTAGAAAACTTGTTGGGGGACTTCAAAATGCCTCTATATACAGGATTAAAGAACCCAAGAAAGACTGGAAGAAGTAAAAATTGGGACTCACCTGAGAAGACCAAATAAGGTGATCACCACGCTGTCAGAAAACAAACAAATAGAATGGAATCAGAAAAAAGTGAGGGTGCTGGGCATTTAAAACCACATTAATATGGTTTTTTGTTTTGTTCTGTTTTGAATAAAAACCAAGCCTGAAACAGTTTTAAGTGGTACACATTTTAATGTGACCATTGATATGTGAATTCTTCTATCTTTAGAAATAGAAGATAATTGTCATGGGAGGATATTCTCTGCATTCTAATTTCTTATAAGTTCAATTATATGAAGGCTTGAGACATCTCAAGCCTTCATATTTCTCAGAAAGAATGACCCTCCCTCCTAATAGATTCCCTCCCAGAGATGTCTGGAACAAAGAAAATTTCCAAGAAATGTTAGAGGAACTACCCTTGTTGTCCAACTCTCCTGACACAGGAGAGCAGCGAATGTATATAAAACACAGGGCTGAGAACCTTTACCTCTCAAATATCCCTACTAAAAATCAAAACTGATGAAAACTGTAACAGGCTTACAGGGAAGTCTGAAGTTTGTAAAGACATTTATTTTTCGCTTTTATAATCTATGTCTCTACCTCCTGCATATTTTAATAATGCTGAGATGGCTTTCCAGTGTAAACCAAGGAGATACCTGACACTGAAGGTTTCTATACATTCATAGAATAAATCACAAGGTGGGTCAAGTTCCAATATGGCTCTTTACATGACAAGTAATGACCTGGACACAGAAAGTTCTCTCAGAGTGATGACAATTAAGCAGTAACTCTTCATTATGCATTATCAGGTGGCACATGAGATTTTTTTTCTTTTTTCAGACTGTTCTCAGTAGTTATATTTGGAATGTCTTTCCCCAGCATGAGTTCTCTGGTGTTGATGCAAGTGCAATGCCTTCTGCATTTCTCTCTGCTGTGAATCCTTCTGCTACGGGTAAGGGCTGGGTGGTGGCTGAAGGCATCTTACACTCACTGCACTTACAAGGCTTCTCCCCCAATGTTGACTACTTGTGCATTTAATTAAGAAAGAACTGACAAAAAATAAAAAGCTTTCTAACATTCTTAGCACTCAGGTTATTTCCTCCAGTGTGGGTCCCATCATGAGGGATGAAAGAGCAGCAGCAGTAAAGGCATTTCTACATTCATTGCACCAATAGAGCTTCTCTCAAGTATGGACCCGCTGGTGCTGCAGGAGGTGTGACCTGCGTTTGAAGGCTTTGCCACACTCAATGCACTTGTAGGGCATCTCCCCAGTGTGGATGACAGAGTGTTGAATGAGGTATGTGCTCCGATGAAAGGCTTTCCCGCACTGAGTGCATTCATAGGGCTTCTCCCCAGTGTGAATCCGCTGGTGCTGCATGAGCTCTGAGCTGCATCTGAAGGCCTTTCCACACTCCACGCAATCATAGGGCTTCTCTCCAGTGTGGATGATGTAGTGTTGAATTAGGTGTGCCCTACTGCTGAAGGCTTTATCACATTCTTTGCATTCAAAGGGTTTTTCTCCCGTGTGGATCCTATTATGGCGAATAAAAGTAGAGCGATGGGTGAAGGCCTTTCGACACTGACTGCACTCATAGGGCTTCTCTCCAGTGTGGATTGGATGGTGCTGCATGAGATACGACCTGCGTTTGAAGGCCTTCCCACAATCAAGGCACTTGTATGGTTTCTCCCCGGTGTGTATGAGGTAGTGTCGAATGAGGGTTGAGCTCTGGCTAAAAGCTTTCCCACACGCATTGCATACATAGGGCCTCATTCCAGTGTGAACCCGCTGATGTCGTACAAGATACCACTTCCGGCTAAAACCTTTCCCACACTGTTTGCATTTGTAGGAGTTTGTCCCTCCATGAATTGAGGTGTCTTTCCCTGTTTGCTGTGAGTCACATTGAAGGAGAACATCTCCTGGAGATACCTGCTCCAGTAACACCCCGGAGTGTAGACTGCCTTCCATCCCCAAACCTTCACTTTCAAGGCTCATTTCCTCTCGATGGGTCTCCTTGTGGAGGTCTGCCCCTGGCTTCACCTGACCTTTCTGCATTTCCAAAAGCCCTTCCTGATCCCTGGATCTCCCCAGTCTGAAGTCCCTTGAAGATCCCAAACTCAGGCTTCCCTGGAGAAAGGCTCCCTGAAATAAGACCGGCAGACAAGTGGTTGGCTCTCTGGTCTGAAGTTGTGGTCTGTCACCTGAAGGAATCCAACACAAAAAGGAAGGGACTTTCAGTGATATAATACAGCAGAAACAAACGCTCCAGCGGTAAGAAAAGAATGCAAATAGTACCTCTGACACTTGCTGCATTTTTACATCTCTATAACCCAGGCTTCCAAATACTTTTCATGGTCCTTGTACCCCTGACATCATTGAAGGGGAAATCTGGAGTGCAGGCTGGACCAGGAGACAGAGGATCTGGAGTGGAGATGCCCCTCTTCACAGTCCAGAGTAGGGAAGGGAGGGCAGAGTTTTGATGACATTGACCTAAGAGCATTTGCTCCAAGAACTGATGCCTCTTGGTGCTGTGAGAGTATAGGGAAGTGGCATGTAACAAGATTGGGAAGAAAAAGAGATAATCAAAGGCCTCCTAGAGGGGGTGTCCCATGAGTTGGGTCCTAATGGAGAAGCCAGAGGAGTAGCTGCCAGATAAAGGAAGCGGGCATTGGGGTGAAGGTGAGTGAGTAAAAGTTGGCAGATCCACCCTTGGAGAGTACTTAAAAGTTTTAAGAAAAGGGCACCAGATGCCTAGTGAAGCCAACATGGAAGGTGTGATCAGAGTCAGAGGAAAGGAATGATGATTGCAGCACAAAAGTGATAGAGGGACACATGGGAACAAATGATACAAAAGGTCAAGCATGGTAAGATTTGACAAGTTTCTGCTATATGAGGAGGCACATTGCATGGCAGCCAAGGGTGAAGGCACTGGAGACAGGATGACTCAGTCCAAACCCTGCTGCTGTCAAATGGGCTGATACTGGAGGATGCTTTTCTCTACTCAGTCTCAAAATCTTTAATTAAGAGACTAGGAGACTCAGTTTCTTAGGCCATTATGAGGATTAAATGAGAAAATACACAATTTTTTTTTTTTTTTTTTTGAGACAGAGTCTCACTCTTTCACCCTGGCTAGAGTACAGTGGTATCATAACAGCTCACTGCAACCTCCAGCTCCTGGGCTCAAGCGATCCTCTTGCCTCAGCTTCCTGAGTAGCTGGGACTACAGTTGCATGCCACCATGCTTGGCTAATTTTTCTATTTTTTGTAGAGAAGGGATCTTGCTCTTGCTCAAGCTGGTCTAAAACTCCTGAGCTCATGTGATCCTCCTACCTTGGCCTCCCAGAGTGCTAGGATTACAGGCATGAGTCACCGTGCCAAAGCACAAAAATGCAGTTCTTGATGAAGCATAAGTGTTCACTAAATTGTGGGCCACTGTCATTATTATTATTCTCATTGTTGCACTGGGCAATTACGATGATAGCAGTGACATCAGCAAGAACAAGTGAAGTGCTGTGGTCTGAGGGACATAACTACTGTGCCTCAAAAGTAAAGACATCACCACATGTTTAGAAGAACCTAAACATGTGCAACAGTACTCTCATGCCTGGCTTGTAAAGAAGGGAAATGGTACAGCTACTTTGGGAAAATATGTGACAATTTGACTTAAAGTTAAGTATAAACCTGTCTCATGATTCTGTTATTCCTCTCCTGGGTATATATCCAACAGAAATGAGTACTTGTATCTACTACATATGAGGAAAAAGAATAATCATGGCAGCATTCTTCAGAATCTCCAGAAAATATAAACAATGCAAATGTCAATCAATAGGAGAGTGGAGAAATACACTCTGATATTCTCACAAGATACTGTGATACACAGTAGACAGAAGCTCAGAGCCAAAGATGATTCTGGCAGACCAATCTTTGTTGGGGCCCAGCTAAGTGGATATTTCCAAGAAGTCGGTCCTAGAGCCTTTAAAATAACCATTCATTAAAGAATTATCTCACCATCCATTCACCATTATTTCAAGGGTAGCCCTTTACACCCTTCTTTCAAGAAAACTTTGTTGGAGCTGGCCCTTGTGAGAGGTGTTCAATGCGGGTCTTGTGTCAGTCCTTCCTTCTAGCTGTTTATGAACAGCTTGATGAACCAAGTTTGCAGACACAATGATGATAAAAAGAAGAAATATACAAAAAAACAAAATACTTTGGGAGTCCAATTATACAACATTCATGACTAGTCAAAACGAATCCCTAGTGAGAGAGTCTAAACAGTGGCTTATCATTGTAGGAGTATCTATTAACAAGGATAGGGGCAAAGGAGCCTCCAAGATGCTGGAAATATGCTAAACCTTGACGTAGGTGGAGAATATTTCAGTTTATACATATGTAGAAATATTTCAGTTTATACATATGTTTTCAGTTTATACATACATAGCTGAACCCTTAAGATTTGTGCACATCATTATTATATATATACACACGTATATGTCAGATTTTTAAAAATTATTTTAAACAAAAAATATGGAAGTCAAGTGAATACATCTCTTCAAAAAATGAGACAACTCAAAGGAGCTTGGCTTTATAAGTAAACACAACTTACAGGCTACTGTAGATAAAAAGCATTTTGCGTTTGTTGTCCCCAAATGTAAGCGACTTGAGCACATTTTTATGTTGAATATATAAAGGATGAAGATACAGACAAGGAAGAAAATAAATTAAAAAACAAGTTCCCTGAGAACACAGAAGGCATAGTATAGGCACCGGTGGAAAAACTGGCCATGGTTAGAGGTAAGATCTCCTCCACAGAGGATAAGAGAAGCCACAGGCATGACACAGGTGAAGATGAACCTTTAAGGGTTCAGAAGCAAGAAACACATAAGTACACAGCCTTTATCTTTAACATGAAATTAATTATATGCTGACATCAGTTGCTAAGGAAGTAGTGAACAAATCTGAGTGGCTACAGGAACCAGTGCAGGAAAGAGAACTGTCCAGAGGCAGAGAGTAGATGTGGGGAGACTCGCTAGGAGCCTCTGGCACTGTCTAGGCAAGATGAGAAGAGCTTGGACTGTTGGTGGTGCAGCCAATGAAAGTGGTGATGATGGGCTCAGGAGACCAGGATGATGTAAAATGAGCAGGACTAGGATGGATGGATGCTGGGTTTGATGAAGTTGGAGGAGCCCAGGGGCTGTCTGAGGTGTTTCTAACCTTCTAAACTGCTTGAATGGTAGGACATTCTCTAAACGAGGAGCTAGAGGTGCCTCTGAGGACCTTAAGTGGAGATGTGAGATCAAGGGCATGGGGACACATGTTTGGAACACAAAGGGTTGGAGGTGGGGCTGGCCAAGAGGCCTGAGGAATCACAAGAGGGGAGAACCCACAACTCAGCAGTGATGTCAATCCACTAGGCGATGGCTCTAATCAGCACAAATGTGGAGCAGAAAAAGCCAAATGTCACCTTGGTGTCTTTCAGGGAAGTGGAGCAGGAAAATATAGTATAAGGGGCTACTCTGACTGTCAGTTAAGATGGATGAATGGATGGAGAAGGCAGGAAAGAGTGGGATCCATAATATAGTGTGGATAGTAATATCAAGGGAGGAAAGGCTCCTTTTCTCCGAGTGTAATGTGTAATATTACACAGAAGTGAATGTGTAACATTACTTTTACTCATTACATTAATACTGTTACATTGATAATACTAAGAGCTGACTTCTATTGACACTATGGGCCAGGCACTGACCTAGGCAGCATTGTATGTTATCTCATTACATCCTCCGACAACTCAATGAGACAGAATCACCACTCTGACGTATTTGAGTATAGCATCCTGAGGTGATATAAACCAAATCCATTTGCTCTTCTCTTTGGGCACACAGCCAAACTATGTTTCTCAGTCCCGAGCACCCAGGTGTGGTCAAATGCCTACTTCTCACCAAGAATTTGTGGTCATGGAATATGCATGCAACTGGGTATGACTTGTCCCCTTCTTCTCACTTCCCTTCTGCCAGCTGGACTACGTCAGAGCAACCTTTATTTATTAAAGCTTCCCGTTCACACGCAAAAGCCGCTCTCTCTGAATAACCGTGAGATTCAGCACTCACCTGCTGATGCACACTGTACCCTGATGTGGGTCAGAAACAACTAGATGCCCAGAAGGTCACAACACAGAGTTTCATACAGAAATTCAGAGGCAATGGCCCCCTTGCTTTCCGAATGCTGCTATGACTCCACATGACCAGTGGATGGCTCCTACCTGCACAGGTGCTGTGGGAGAGGCCTCTTTTCACTGTCCACAGCTCCTGTCCATGCTCCAGCAGGTGGATCAGCTCTGGTTTGGGAACGCAATGCCCTGTTGATGACAAAAGAAATAGGACAGGGGTGATCTGATGAGAAGAATAAAATCTGTCTATGTTGCCTGAGACTTCATGACAGGGGACATGACATAAATGGAGCTGCTCTCAAAGTAAGCAAAATTCTGATCTAAGAACTGAAAACCAAGAGCACTGCTATAGAGTGAATTGTGTTCCCCACAAAAGTCATACATTAACCTCCAATGTACTGTATCTGGAGAATGGGTCATTAGGAGGTAATTAAGATTAAATGAGGTCATATGGGTGGAGCCCTAATCTGATAGCACCATGGCCTATCAGAAGAGAGATCTCTGCTCTGTCTTGTCTCTCCACCATGTGAGGTCACAGCAAGAAGGCAGCCATCTGCAAGCCATGAAGAGAGTCCTCACCAGAAAATGAATTAGTTGGTACTTTGATCTTGGATTTCCCACCCTCCAGAACTGTAAGAAAATAAATTCCTGTTGTTTAAGCCACCCAGTCTTTTGTATTTTATTATGGCAGGCAATTAGATGAAGACAAGCACAAATCCCATTCTTGCTATAGAATGTAGTGCTACCAATACCCACTGCTCTTGACCTCCATCTATGGAGGCCAACACTGTTCAGGCACACACTGCTGTCACAGCCATGGGACATCACAAAGGTGAGCTTCTGCCTCCAGAAGGCATTTTCTAATTAATCTCAATCACTGGTTCTTAAATACCCTATGCTTCGGAACAACCTGAGCATTCCTGATTCCAACTCAAACCGAATGAAACAAAATATCTTAGCGTGAGGCCTGAGCATCAGTATTTTTGAAATGTCCCCCCTTCCCCCAGAAGACTCTGGTACACAAACAGGGTTGAAAACCACTGGTTGAAATAATGGCATCCCTGATCATCAGCAGTCTGAGGTAGGGAGGTGACCTAGGCTGGGCTCTCCTTGTGAAGAGAAAGCCTTTATTCTGAGAGGGAGGAGAGGGGTGAACACAGGACCTTCTGCCCCAGTCATGGCTGCACCAACCTGTATCCTTGTAAGGAGCGGCCTGAGACAAGACAAAAGCCTGACCAGGGAGGAGGAGCAGAGATTGTGACATCCTTAATAGCACTGGGCTGCTGCATCCAAGAAGCCTGAGCCAGCCACACCTCAGTTTCTCTTTAGGTGAGGTAGTGCATTTCCTTCCAGGTGAAGGAAGTTTGATCTGGTTTTCTACAGATTCTAAAATGCCAAATGCATTTTACTAGATATAAGGAGAACAAAACAGGAGGGTTTTGTATTGAAGACCAATGACTGAGGCATAAGGACCCACAGAAATATCAACTGGCAGATTCTGATCCACAGCCCAGATTCCTTCAGACATGTCTCAGTAATGTTCACCAATGTGTGCTACATCCTGGCTCTGACCTTCAGGACAGGCCTATGGAAAAGGTGAATCGGACATTCCTTTGGCTCCACCAGGAGTTGGGCTCCCCATCACTTTCACATGTTGGTTCTTCCCCCTGGAACACTGTTCCCCTCCTCTACCTCCATCCATCCAGCTAACTCCTACTCAGCTTTCAAGTCTCAGCTCCACTGTCACTTCCTGAGATGCCTTCTTTGAAGCACCCACAATAGATTATGATTCCCTGGTTATTTACGCCTAAATTCCCCTCATTTTTCTTTCTACAGTTCAATTGTCATCTACACACTGATGTCCACCTTTCCAAGTAAACTTAGAGTGACAGGTTTGCACAGCACACACCACGTACCATCCACTTGGTAATTTTTCTTTAACCTGATTCATTTTTCCTAAATATTTTGTTCTAAAAGAGAACCTTGTTTTGCTCTGGCAAATGAGAAAGTCAATTTCACTTCCTACAGATAGAAGACTACCATCAAAATGCAACAACAAAATCAAAAAATGCTATTAAGTCCCACCAAGCTCATGTAGTCTGCTTAGAGCTGTAAGTTAGAGGCTCTCCCCTTTGCTTAACAGAGAAATTAACCACTCTGGGGGGTGAGCAGGTGAAAGACTCAGCACTGATCCGAGTCTTTTTCATGACAAAAATCAACACATTGGATAGGGGAGGTAAAAGGAATGGTTTTCTCAGAGTGTTGACCCATGCCATTTGAAGACATTCCTGTACAACCTCTCAAAACATCTTCTGGGCAATGGAGAATTGGGGCCCAGCAACAGGAAACAAGTAATGATCATGCAGGCATCGGGGACCTTTTTACAGAGATTATATTGCTTGGGAAGATATCTGGGGGCACTGATGACAAATGTCTCCTGGGGGGCTGCCTCACTCCCTTCTCTCAGAATAGCCCATCACCCACAACCCCTACTAACAGAGCTGTGAGGACAGCTCGTCCCACCAGGCTGGGCCAAGCAGTTTCTTTCTTGTGGAATCTGGAATAAAGACTTCAGACTGAGGCCAGAGTATGCTGAGCACTGAAGTGAGGGCTTGTGTTTAGAAGGATTATGTTTAAAAAAAAAAAAAAAAAAAAAAAAAAAGGCCGGGCGCGGTGGCTCACGCCTGTAATCCTAGCTCTTGGGAGGCCGAGGCGGGCGGATTGCTCAAGGTCAGAAGTTCGAAACCAGCCTGAGCAAGAGCGAGACCCCGTCTCTACTATAAATAGAAACAAATTAATTGGCCAACTGATATATATATAAAAAATTAGCCGGGCATGGTGGTGCATGCCTGTAGTCCCAGCTACTCGGGAGGCTGAGGCAGAAGGATCGCTCGAGCCCAGGAGTTTGAGGTTGCTGCAAGCTAGGCTGACGCCACGGCACTCACTCTAGCCTGGACAACAAAGCGAGACTCTGTCTCAAAAAAAAAAAAAAAAAAAAAAAGAAGGATTATGTTTAGCCGGGCGTGGTGGCTCATGCCTGTAATCCTAGCACTTTGGGAGGCCGAGGCGGGCGGATTGCTCAAGGTCAGGAGTTCGAAACCAGCCTGAGCGAGACCCCGTCTCTACCAAAAATAGAAATAAATTAACTGACCAACTAAAAATATATATACAAAAAATTAGCCAGGCATGGTGGTAGTCCCAGCTACTCAGGAGGCTGAGGCAGTAGGATCGCTGAGCCCAGGAGATTGAGGTTGCTGTGAGCCAGGCTGACGCCACGGCACTCACTCTAGCCTGGGCAACAAAAAAAAAAAAAAAAAAAAAAAAGGAAGGATTATGTTTCTACTGCAACAATCCCTGAAGTAGACACAGAGAAACCATGCAGAAAGAGATGGGACCAGAAAACTACAGGAGCTGTGAGGAGGAAAATAGGTGGCTCCTGCGACCTTTCTGCCCAGCCATGAATCAAGAGGGAGTTTAGACTGCCCCCAGGGGTGGGAGGTGAGCCATTACCTAAAGAAACCAGGAGCCCACAGGTCTCCAGCATCACCTCTTGGTACAGGGTCCTTTGGGCCAGGTCCAGCTGTCTCCACTCCTCTCGGGTGAAGGTCACAGCCACATCTTTCAAAGTCACCAACACCTAGAAAGTCAAACAGAAATAGTGGTATTGACATTGTGCTGTTGAATAAGATCAGAGCCTGTCACTCACTTGCTGGTCAAGGTGTAGAGAGACCCAGGCATGAATCACCAAGGCCTCCCAAGGACCAAGCTCTGTGTCCGGCTCAAGGCGGAGGCAGACACTGCCTTTTGATGTAATGCAATTGTGGCTGAGAGAAAAGCCTCCCATGAGGAAGCCGCTGGAGATGACACAGACAAAAGCAATCCCACGATAACTGTGGGAAGCAGACAGTATGTGCTCTGGGATATCAGATGAATGGAGGAAAATGACTATAAAAATAATTCTAATCATGATTAACAGCAGCAGCAGCTGAACCCCACTGGTCCTCACTGTGTTCCTGCCTGGGCTGAAGACTTCATATGCCATGGTGAAGGAAATAAAGGTCCCAGCTCTGGAGCCAGACCCTGGGGGTTGGAATGAGGCTTCTTGAATCTGACAGTTGCCAGCTGTGTAACCATGATGAGGATATCTCATTATTTCCCTAAGCCCCTATTTCCAAATCAAACAATAATTATTCCCATTTCACCAGGCAGTTCTGAGAACTGAACATGTTCACAAGGCAATCACTGTAATGTCTAGGACATGTGAATGCTTGAAATGTTTTGCAACTTTTATTAATCTTCCCAAAGGCCCAGAGGTCAATGCCATCATCATTTCCATGTCATGTCACAGTCAGCAACCTGGGGCTCAGGCAGCTTTAGAACTCCCCTAGCCTCACATTTAAGAAGTAGAGGCAGGATATGAACACTGAGTAAAAGACCTCACAAAGCTGCAAGAGGGTAGGCAGGTGGGGGCAAGGAGTACTTTAGCTAGAACTAGAATAGCCAGAAAAAGAGTATGCTACGAGGTGACATTGATGTACAGGAATGGTGTTAAGGGGCAGCCCTGCAGAGATCTAAGGTAGTGTTCTAGGCAAATGGAAATACAAAAGCAAAGGCTGAAACCTGGGAAAGAGCCTGGCAAGTTTAGGACTCCTTAGCTGGATGCAGTGAGCAATAGGAGAATAGAAGAGGAGGAAGCAAAGGTGGTCCAAAAGGCAGATCAGGCCGGGCGTGGTAGCTCACGCCTGTAATCCTAGCTCTCTGGGAGGCCGAGACGGGCGGATTGCTCAAGGTCAGGAGTTCGAAACCAGCCTGAGCAAGAGTGAGACCTCGTCTCTACTATAAATAGAAAGAAAATTAATTGGCCAACTAATATATATAGAAAAAATTAGCCGGGCATGGTGGCACATGCCTGTAGTCCCAGCTACTCGGGAGGCTGAGGCAGGAGGATCGCTTGAGCCCAGGAGTTTGAGGTTGCTGTGAGCTAGGCTGACGCCATGGCACTCACTCTAGCCTGGGCAACAAAGTGAGACTCTGTCTCAAAAAAAAAAAAAAAAAAAAAAAAAAAAAAAAAAAAAAAAAAAGATTGAGAAGACAAGAAAATAGAACAAGGAGACCAAAGAGATTACAGTCAACCTTAGATGGAGTGACAGAGCAGGCCTCTTTAAGGCAGGGACACTAGAAGGAGTCTGAGGGACACATGACGATGAGAAATTAACAAATAACACAAGTTCTGACAGTGATCAGGGCTATATTAAGAGTAATCACAATGACTGCTAAAGAGTAACCCTGGGCTTCATGTGTTTATATCCAAAGGGACACTCCATTTCTGCACACTCTCACCACAGAATATTTTAATATTCACCTTCATCTGTAACTGTCTTGGATAGGAGAATAGATTGACTACTGTCAGTTGTAACCCAGCTCCACTGTCCTAAACTGAAAAATAATTTCCCTGGCCTGCCCTGCCACCTTTTCTGCCCTAGCATAGCAACAATTGCAAACACTACTCCCACTTCTCTTGACAGAAGCCCTTAGCTTTGTAGAGACAGTAAGCCAGGGAAGCCAAAGTGTCAGACACCTGCTGGAGTGAACCTCTAAAATCAGCACATACCCAGGGAGCATCTCCATGGAAACATCCTGAACAATGCTCCCTGAACCGTGTTGGGCACCGAGAGGGCAAACGTCACCCATATGCCCTATGTACTTTCCTTAATCCAGAGGAAAAAAATGTCAACATCCCCACCTTCTGCACGAGAAAATGAAGGCCAAGGGCAGCAAGTGGACTTGCTGGAGATCACAGCCCCAGAAAGGAGGGAGCACTGCTGGCATCTGCAGTGAGGTCTGCGGAGTGCGGGTCGTTTCACTCACACGGCGGTGGTGGTGGTGTCCTGAAAGCCCCATTTCACCCTACATTCCGCACCCCGCTGGCTGCCAAAACTGGGAGCCCTCCCCATAGACCCCCGGCCTGGATTCCGGACCACGGACCGAGGGACCATCCTAGGCTCCGAAAGCCAACAGCGGGGACGTGGCAGCGCGAAGGGCCGCGTGGCAGTGCCAAGGGTCCCGCACCTCGCAGGCCCGCAACCCCGAGGGCGCGCCCGGGCGCGTGGCCTGGGGCCAGTCCGCTCACCCGCGCCGCGTCCATCGCCGCCGCCCTCGGCCGTGAGGGGAACCGGGCCGCCTGAGGCGATCTCCGTGGGCTCAGAGGCCTTTCTGGGTCCTACAGAGGAGCGCACGGGGCACCCATCCTCTTCAGCAGGCGGACCCCGTCACCCCCACTCGCCGGCCGCGCGCTCGCAGCCGGCGCGGACGCACACTCCACGCCACAAACAAACGACCACCCAGGATCGCGGAAGCCCCGCCCCCGGCAACGCCTCTCGTGCCGTCATTGGTGCAGTGCGCCCCGCCGCCCCGCTGCCTTCTGGGTACTGTAGTTTTCGCCTGCATCCGGCCAGGGCAGAGATGCACCTCGTTCAACCTCAAGTGCGGAGCGGTCTGGGAAACTGCATCCCGAGTCTCCCGTGAAGGACGGGGCCTTGGGTATACTTAAAGGGGACGCACCCTTTCAAGCGTGCGTCCCCTTTTCATGGTCGTGTTTTCTGCAATTTATTTCAGGTGCTCTTAAGGGAGCTAGTGGACACACTGTTGTAAATGTTTAAAACTTCATATTACTCTGGTGCCTCAACATCCCCACAAACTGGCTGTGAGCACCCCCACCAGGCCACCAGGTGCACCAGTGCGATAAGGCTGGCATCAGCCACAAGTTCCCCTTCTTGCCATCCCTTGACTGTGACCTAGTGACATTCAAACACACCAGTAAAATCTCCTTGCCGCCTTTTTACTTCCATACTCCACCCTGGCCCCAGATAAAGGTACTTTCCCGCGGGTCCACACTGTCTTTCAGCTCTCCACTGGCCCAGTTGAGCCTCCTCTGTGAAGTGCCATGCCTACCTCTTTAGGACCTGTGAGTGTGGCAAATTCTTTAATTTCATAGGCTGCTTCTGTTAGGTTGTGTGTGTTTTTCGGAGAGATGTCCTGATCCTTTGGCTCCTTGCTTGGAAGAATCGCAAACAGGGCCAGGGCCACAGCGCAATGACAGACACAAAGCAATTCCACACAAGCAGCCTTTATTAAAAAGCATAGGATACAAAGCAAAAGTACATTCTGGAGAAAGGAACGTGTCTGCCTCTGCCAGTGGAGAAGACCCTGAACATAATGAAGTTCACCTTCTTATGTTGGTTCCCTAATTTTATGCTAAGCTGGGGGTGAAATATTTGTGATTTTTCTGAAGAAAGGGGTGGTGAGTTCTCCAAATTGGGGTTCCTCCTCTTTTCTGACCTTATAGGGTAAGTTCCCAGGGTTGCCATGGCATTTGTAAACTGTCGTGGCTTGGGTGGGTGTGCATTTTACTGTGTTAATGAGGCAAAGTTCCCTTTTGATCACAAGCTTTTAGCTTCTGTGCATGCTCCAGGTTGGGAAAAGTTCCTAACCTCAAGTTCCTGCTGTTGTGGTTTCTTTCCTCCGTTGTTATTGGTCCTGACCTTCTGGCCTTGACCACATCCTCCTATTACCTGTGCTGCTACCTAAATGCCCTTAGCCCTACCTGACATTACCAAGCATAATTTCAAGGCTACATTGAAGTGGTCCTTAGAGATCCAATAAAGACTTACACACATGCCCCCATTTAAGACTTGTCATCTCCAGACAATTAATTGTTATTTTTAATACTTTCCTGAAAGCATTTCCAAGAAACCATGACCCTTAAGTGCTTTGTCTTCAAAGAGATTTATGGAAAAGACTCTGACGACTACAGGTGTGTGATAAATTTAAGATCATACCATCGGATTGGGTAAGAATTTTCAGAACTCTAGTGAAAAAACTGAAAGATTCACGAAACTGCTGTCCCAAGATCAAGCAGAATAAGAATTAATTACATGGGACTGGATAAACTAATGAAGGTAATGTTTTTATGACTTTTCATTGGAATTTTTTTTTTGAGGCAAGATCTCTCTCTGTCACTCAGGCTAGAATACAGTGGCCTGATCATAGCTCACTGCACCCTCAAGCTCCTGGCCTCAAGTGGTCCTCCTGCCTCATCCTCATGAGTAGCTGGGACTACAGGTGTGTGCCACCATGCCTGGCTAATTTTTCCTTTAAAATTTCTTGTACAGATGGAGTCTCACTATAGCACAGGCTGGTCTCTAACTCCTGGGCTCAATCAATCCTCCCTCCTCAACCTCTTGAAGTGCTAGGATTACAGACACAAGCCACCACACCTGGTCTTGTTTTCCAGCTTTAAGGAAACTTTTTATTTTCTCTTGAGCTATCTATAACTTACTTAACTATAATTTGATAAAGTATACATTTGTAAATAAATATAAAACAATTATTTTTTCTCCCTACCTGATACCTCAGAATTCAGAAGCTATTTGTGAATATTCTTATTTTATGGAAATAGTTATTTGCATAAATCTAATAAGAATATTTTCTCTTTATAACAGGATACAGTTGAACATATGGGTTATGTTAATATTACCAAGGCTTTGACTGGAATGTCATATTTGAGAATGTCCATAGAATACCTGGCTTCAAGAGTTTCCCACACCTTATGAATAAGGCACAGGGACCTTAAAAGTATTGGGGGAACTTTGAGAAGAGACTCATTTACACAAATCTATAGGTAGTGCTAGTAAAATCTGATGGCAAGTATTTAGCTTGTACTCCTAGTCTTGAGAGGCTTTTAAAAGTCTAACCTGAGATTCCTTATGAAAAGTTCCAGCAAAGCACATTTACAAAGAATCTATGTTATTGTTTGTTTCCACCAAAATTTATATTGAAATTTTGTCCTTAGTGTGGTGTAGTTGGGAGGTGGGGCCTACTGGGATGTGTTTGGATCATGGGAGCAATGCCTCATGAATGACTCGGTGCCATTCTCATAGTAGTGAATCAGTAAGTTCTCACTCTGGCTGGATTAGTTCTCACGGGAATGGATTATTTCCCTTGAGAGTACATCGTTATAAACTTGGGATGCCCTTCAGCCTTTCCCTCTTCTCATATATCTGGATTCCCTTTGATCTTCTCCACCATGATGCAGTGTGGAAACCCTTACCAGAAGCCATGGCCGTGACTTTGAATGTCCCAGCTTGCAGAACTATGGGCTAAATATTAATAAACTTCTTTTCTTTTTAAATTACCCAGTCTCATGTATTCTGTTATAAGCAACAGATAATGGACTGAGACAGCCTATATGGTCAATTACTATTCTTTATACACTATGTAAATAATCAAGCCACATTTAATGAGACTAGACCTATTTTGCATTGGTCTTACCATAATTATCTTTGGTAAAAATGGGGGTAAATGTAGAGAGAAAAATTATGTTTCAAAAGAAAACTATATTACACCTGCTATGGTTTGAATATCCACTCCAAAACTCATGTTGAAACTTAATTGTATTGGGATGATAGTAAGAGGTGTGACTTTTTAAGAGGTAATTAGATCATGAGGGCTCTGCCCTCATAAATGGATTAATGCCATTATCATGGGAGTTGGTTAGTTATTATGGGTTTAGACTCCTGTTAAAAGTGTAAATTTGGCCCCCATTCTCTGTCTCAAATGCTCACTTTCTCTTCCACCATATTAAGGCACAGAAAGAAGACCCTCACCAGATACTGTACCTTGATCTTGGACTTCCCAGGCTCCAGAACCATGAGCCAAACAAATGTCTTTTCTTTATAAATTGCCCAATTTGTGGTATTTTGTTATAGAAGCAGAAAATGAACTAATATGACACCTTGTTATTAGATTCTAGCCCTATTCAATGTTTTTAAGGTTTTACCTGCTAACTACATTGGATCCTAAATTCTTCTAATTCTACAACTCTACAAATTCATATTGCCAATTTTTTCCACTTTCTGACTTGGAATCACTGAAGTTAAAACTACTCTGTTCCTGAAGTTGCACAAGCTGGAGAATATGATGTTAATTTCAAGAGACACCCTACATGCCTGACACATGAGCCACTCATAATTCACCAAAACACCCAATGTCATAACCAGAGACTTTCAAACCGCAAACCAGGAAAATATTCTTTGAGATCAAATCTAGAAATCTTCTTGATTGACTGTCCTTTAGTTTGTTATAGCTACTAACCTTTGTTTTTCTTTTGTTTATTTTATTAATAGTTGGTTTGGCTCCTAGGAACCCTACTAAGCAGCACATTCTAAACTCTTTACATTGTCCTCCCAGTACTCTTCCTGGTGCAATGTACCCTCTCAAAAGGTCTTAAATGGCTGCATGCAGCTGTCCAACAAACAACAAATAATGTATCTCCAGCCAGAACAACAAAAACTCAAAGAAATGCATGATAATGAGGAAACTATGAATGATGTGTTGAAACTAAAATCAAAGAATGATGGTGACTAAGACTAGCACTGATGCCTTAAGTTTTGGTCAGCCTAGGTCTTACCTCAGAGGTAAAAGCCTGACTGAAAGAGAGGGATTGCTAAATAAAATATATAGGAAGCCACCAATTTGGGCTGAGCTCCTGCACTAGCACCAAACAGACCAAACCAAAAGTTGTATTTCTGACTGTCCAAGAAATCAGAGAGATGATAGGGAAAACTCCAAATGAGCTAGTTTTAGCTGGTATGATAAGGAAGTCCCCTTGGCTTTAACCCTTATAGGGTAAGTGACCTGACATAACCTAGTATTAACCAATCCACTTTTTATTTTGAACAAAAAGATATTTAATATACTTAATATGTATAAATGCAGGTGTATTCTTAAACAATCCACTTTTATCTTATGCTGTTTCATTACTCCTGCTCCAGCTACCTTCTATTTCCATTTTATAGAATGAGATATTGTCCCAGCCACGAATCGCTAGTAAAAACCAATTCGATCTGTAAGCTAAATTTGTTGAAATTTTTGTCTTTTGACAATAGAAATTTCCATCATTATTTTAATCTATGTAAAAACATAATTAATCCAATGTGATTCACAGTTGGGTTTTTAAGGAAGTCTTGAGAATTTAAAATGTCTCTGAAAATACTCTTGGGGGAGAATACTTGTAGATTTATGTGACAACGTATCTTAGATGTTTGTATTATCATCACTCATACTTCACTCAAGTGAAATTTGTTAGCAACTGAAATTTTGTAGTTTTCAAGAACATACAAAATGAAATTTATTAAAACAAAAATGTCCCACTTTTACAATTATATTTCTATTGTTTTCATTGTATTCTATACCTTACATAATTAAAATCAAAAGTAACTGCTGAGGCCGGGCGCAGTGCTAGGATTACAGATCACACCTGTAATCCTAGCACTCTGGGAGGCCGAGGCGGGCGGATTGCTCGAGGTCAGGGGTTTGAAACCAGCCTGAGCAAGAGCGAGACCCCATTTCTACTAAAATAGATAAAAATTAATTGGCCAACTAAAAATATATAGAAAAAATTAGCCAGGCATGGTGGCGCATGCCTGTAGTCCCAGCTACTTTGGAGGCTGAGGCAGGAGGATTGCTTGAGCCCAGGAGTTTGAGGTTGCTGTGAGCTAGGCTGATGCCACGGCACTCTAGCCCAGGCAACAAAGTGAGACTCTGTTTCAAAAAAAAGAAAAAAGTACAGCACCCTATCAGTGACAGGCATATGAAGATGTCCATCCCACACAGCATCGGCATCGGGCAGAGTTGGGTTTCCTGGGATAAAACAGCTATGGCTGCTGGTCAGGGAGAGGGAGGAGTGCTGCGGTAGAAATTCAAAGGATGCATAGGAGGGTTTGTGAGACTGGGAGGGCAACAGTGTAAAAGATCTCCCAGATAATTAGGACATGAAAGGACTTTAAAATCTGATTAGATGTCAAGTAAACATTTGTCATTAGAGTAGCAAAGATGTTGCTTATTTGTGCTCACAAAATCCGCAATGCCTAAACATTTTTTATGATCTTCGCAAATCTCTGTATGGATGATAAAAGTTTAAAATTTGTATCTAATTACAGAAATGTTTGGTGACAATATATTGTAGACTCCATTCAGCAGGGCAGGGACCCAAAGAAATACCCAAAAAAATGTACACACTGCAGTGCCACTCAGACGCAGGGTGCAAGCTGTCAGCAGCTGGTAACAAACAAACATGCAGTGGTTTGAATGTCCACACCAAAACCTACATTGAAATGTAACTGCCATTATAACAGTGGGAAGAGGTGGAGCCTTTAAGAGATGATCCTCTCACAGCCCAACCAGGCTCACTGCCGGCTGCTCAAGAGGAAGCCAACACACTGCGACAGCAGCAGGGGCTGCAGCAGAGAAAGACTGTAATATGCAGGTGCCATGTGAGGAGATGGGAAGAATTTCTCAAATCCATCTCCAAAAAAAATCGGGGAGAAAGGGTTTTTAAAGATAGTTTGATAGTCAAACGGCTAGGCAATTGGGTCTGCTAATTGGCTGGGTTCACGGCAGAACCATGGGGGGACAGAAATTGTCTTCTTTGCTGAGTAGGTTCTTGGGTAGGGGGGTCTAAAGACTAGTTTAGTCGGTTCCTTGGTGGAGGCTGCTGGTCTGGGTGGGTCAGCTGTTCCACTGGAATGCAGGGCCTAAAAGATAGCTCAAAAACTAGCCTTAGGTTTTACAAGGGGGATGTTATCGATGGGGAAAGTTAAAAATCTTTATGACCATTAGCTATGTGACTCCTAAGTGACAATTATAGGAAAGCAAACTAAGGGACAGTGGCTGGTCTTTATCATTAGTTTTAGCTTTGCTGGTGCCTTTGCAGAGTTTAGGCCTTACCACAGTTCTCACCTTGAACCCCTTTATTAAGGGGTGGTTTCCATTGGGTCATAAGGACAGAGCCCTCATGAATGGGTTAATGTCACAGTCATGGGATGGATGAGTTACTGTGAGAGCAGGGTGTAATAAAAGTGAGTCTAGGCCGGGCACGGGCTCATGTCTGTAATACTAGCACTCTGGGAGGCCGAGGCAGGTGGATCGCTCAAAGTCAGGAGTTCGAAACCAG